GTAGTTTTCTATTAAAATGTGAATATTCCATGAAAAAGTGATATAGTATTCTATGAAAAGTGGTAAGCTTATGAAAGAGTGAAAGGTTTCAAGTATAAAGTCAGTTTTCCATGAAAAATGAAAATATTCGATGAAATTATGAAAAGCCCAAGGTTTCCTTTCAAACACCCAAAATAATGCCGTTAGTTAACGGCAAGTGAATAAACGAACCTTTGACTACTTTTTAAAATAGTCAAATATTCCTAAACATAAAAACGCCGTTAAATAATTACATTTAATTTTCTGAAGTTGAGAAATATTTCTTAAGCTCTTTCGTACTACAGATTTTTTTAAAAATTTTCCAACTTCCAATGTTTGTTTGTTTTTTAACTTGGGAACATTAAATGTAATTATTTTACGTCGTTTATTTTTATGTTGAGAAATATTATTATCGAGAAATTGGTAAACGATTTGAACAATTGCTCTTTGGGTTTTGCACGTTTAAAAAGTACAATGCGTTTCTTCAAATGGGCCATTCAACGGACAGATTAACGTCACGTGATTCCTAATTTGTGTCTTGATTTCTTGACATGACTCGTTAGATAATCACGGTGATAGCTTGAAAAAGGTTACATTGTTAGTTTTTCAGAGAAATTTAAGAACCAGCTTCTTTCCCTACTTTGCCCAAGAAATTCGTAAATATTTATCAGTTTTTGAGGTAGAAATGTGTAAATATATCCCTCAGAAATTGTTACTAAATGTCAAAAACATGATTTTTTAACTTATTTATCGCTCAGAAATTCTGAAATAGTGTTGTAAATTTTTTCCATACAAATTCAAAAACACTACTTTTCCATATTTTCCAGAAATTCGTAAGTACCTGTTTTTCATGGTGAAATTCATGAATGCCTCCGTTGGAAATAAAAGAATGGATTTTTTGTATTTCTTCATAAATTCAAAAATATAATTTTTTTCAAAAAAAAATTAGGAATACTGCCGTTTTTACTCTTTAGTTTTCCCCCAGAAATATAAGAATTCAATTGTTCATGCTATTTTTCACTTACTTTTAAAATAACGGGTGCAATTTTTACAAAATATTGATACACAAGTACAAAAACGTAAGTACACTGAAAAAGATTTAGAAATTTTCAGAAAACTATAAAACCTACATAACCGCTTTATCTTGACACATTAGAAGCCATCTTTAACAAGCTTTCATAAATAATAAATTTTCCTAACAATAAGAAATGACGATAAGTAATTACATTTAATTTTGCAGAGTAAATAAATTTTTATTTCGAGAATGTTTTAAAATTTACATAAACTACAAAAACCAGGGATCACACCACCCACAGAGCAATATTCGTAACAAATTCGTTTTAAATTGCATAAAAAATTAGACGCTGCACTTTAAGCTGAATAAAAAAAGGATGAATCTTTAACTACTTTTTAGGATAGCAGATCTTCCTAAACATGAAAATGGCGTTAAATAATTACATTTAAATTGTGTACTAAAAAATAGACACATCTTATCAACTATTATCAAATAATAGCTGAAATGTTTACAACATATTGAGAAAGTAAGATTAAAATTATTAGTAAAGCTCGAAAAAACCGCTGTAGAATTAAAAAAACAATTATTTATAAATTTTGCGTTAGCAAATATTCCTAAAAATAAAATAAAAACGACATAAAAGAAGTTATTAAGTTTTAGCAAATGCTTTTTGATTTCGAGAATTATATTTCCAAATTTTACTCATTTATAAAAACTAGGGAACATATAGACTCTCAGAATAATATTTTTAACAAATTTGTTTCAATTGCATAAAAAATATTACACGCTGCACTTGCTCCACAGATGAACAAAAAAGAAGAAGAACCTTTCACTATTTTTTAAATAGCAATTATTCATAAACATAAAAATGGCGTTAAATGATTTTAAAAAATAGACATAATTATTATCACGTATTTTCAAATAATGGCTGAAATATTCACAAAATATTGAGAAGTTAAAACGAGTATTATATATGTAGAAATTGTTAGGAAAATTTGACACCTCAAATAATCAAAACATCTTTTAATACGCTTTGTGATAATTAATATTCTTCAAAATACAAAATGTCGTTAACTAATTAAAATTATTAAGTTTGAACAAATGCTTCTTAATTTCGAGAATTCTTTGTATATTTCGAAATTTTAGTGATCTGTAAAAACTAGGAAATGAAATATCTTTAGAGCAATATGTGCAACAAATTTGTTTCAAATTGCGCCTAAATTACATGCTGTACTTTGTGCAAGTGAAGGAATGAATCTTTGAATACTTCTTAACATACTCAAATTTTCCGAAGCATACAAATGGCGTTAAATTATGATATTTAGATTTCTGAACTTAGCAAATGTTTCTTATTTTCAAAGTTTTTTCATAATTGAACCCGTTTCCCTCTAAAATCGTGATAATATTGATGAAACTATGTTTTTGGAAAGAATTGTAGAAAGCGTTATATGTTTCAGAAATATTGACGTTTAGGAATTTTTCCATTTAATTTTTACAAGTTCAGTAATAATACATCTTGATTTAGAGAATTTTAATGTTCTGAAATTTTCCTGAGCTACGTAAACTAGGGAACAAAACATCACCAGATAAAAGTGATCTATGTAATTAATTCATTATTTGCGTGTAATTATTTATTTAAAATAAATTTTGCGGCGTTAAAAATGTAAAAATGTTGGAAATAATGACAATTTTGTAAAAAATTCTTCCACCAGAAATTGAAAAATATGTTTATACTCATGTTTCAAAAAAATTTAGGAACACCATCATTGACTAAATTTTTCGAAGATATTCTTAAATAGGAGTTTTTCATGTAGAAATTAAAAAATATTTCTCCCAGAAATTTAGGAATTTTTTCTTACTTATTTCACCAAAAAATTGATGACTGCTATTTTTAATTTTTCAGATTCAAAAATATGCAGAAATTTATTCTTTATGTTTTTACAAAGATAAAGAAATTAATTCATAAATGTATCAAATCTAGTAATTTACTTCTATCTAATTATTTATTTAGAATAAGTTTTGCGACGTTAAGAGTAAGCAAAGACAGGATAAATAAATAAATAAAATAAATAAATAAATAAATGTTTGAAATAAAAACAATTTTGTGAAAAATCCACAGAAATTAAGGAATATATTTTACTTGTTTTCCCATAAAATCCAGAAGTACAATTTTTTACTCATTTTTGTTCGGAAATTTCTTCGAAAACTTGGGACAAAACCAAAATTTATTTATTATGTGTAAATTTATTGTGTTATTTATTTATTTTTAAATAGATCATGACAAAAACAATTTATTAGATGTTAGCGTGTCAATAATTCCTTGCGTCATTTTAATGATTTTTGAGATAAAAAATATTCCTGAAAATAAAAAATGACGTTGAATAATTCCGGAACCGGAGAAAAGTATTCATTAGCTGGACGCACTCTGGAAATCAAGGTTTTACTCAAGTGCATATTTATTCCTGGAAAAATGACATTCTCCAAAAATCTGGAAGTGATTGTGTTGTTCGTAACAATCCTAGCTTGCAGCGGGGCAGCGTCTCCTGCACCCTTGAAGAATAATACCGCTGATGGGAAGGGGACCCTTGGAGTAATCATTCCGACCGCGATTCCATGCTGGTTTGATAGTAAGGCTTTCGTATATTTATTGATGAAGGCAGTATTTATCAGGGTTTGCTACCCCGGGTTTTTGGGGTATTGGGGTTTTGCTGGTTTTGGTGGGTTTTAGGGCAGCAAAAATGAGCAATATCCACGGGTAGTCAGGGTAGTTGTTGGGGTAGTCGGGGTTTTCAAATTTTATTAATCGATCGTTACAATTTACGACAATTATGATAATATTTGTTCGATACCATAACCTTAATTTTACTTTTATTTTCAAGATGAAACTGCGGTACTGGTTCAGATGGAGGTAACGGACTGTGCTATTCAACCCTGTTACATGGATGCAGGTTCGACCTACGAACTTATTAGATGTTAGATTAGATACTTATTAGATGTTAGCGTGTCAATAATTCCTTGCGTCATTTTAATGATTTTTGAGATAAAAAATATTCCTGAAAATAAAAAATGACGTTGAATAATTACATTTATTCTTTCAAGTTTAGAAATAATTTTGGATTTCTAAATTTTCAACTTTTTTCTAAAAGTTCAACTTTTTTTATCGTGAAAATATTGACAAACGAATGATTTTTTTAAATAGTATGATTATTTATTCAATATCGTCAATTGAAATTGTATTGGGTATTTTAGCCCCATTTTGAAAAATAAGTATTTTCCTGGTGACTCCACTACACAAACCTTATGGACTGACACGGAACTTTTGTGTTACATGTCATCACTGATTTTTGCCACACCTTAAATAAAATTTTAATAGATCTCCACATTGATTGATTGATTGATTGATAGTCATTTATTCACATGTTATTCCTTGATCAGTACAATTTAATGACTAGTTTACATCAAGTAACACTAAAAAATAGATTGAGTAAAGAAACTGACCACTGAATCCTTACTAGATACTCAATCCATTCAACAAGACGAATAAATAATTGGGATTATCTAATATTGGAAATCTACAAATTAACTCTTCCCCAAATGAATAAATTGCCAAGTTTCCCTTGAAAATATTTATGCAAGTGTACACATATGTACCTGTTCAATTTCATTCATGTGACTGACTATGATAGAGAACCATAGTGAATGAAAATGAATTTCCTGTGATGTGAGTGAAGATGAGTGAAAGATTCAGTCATTTCAGATGAGTGACTGTGAATGAAAGGATTTTTCCCTCATTTCATTTTTCACCCAATGCTTAATACATGGGGCGAAGTATTTCATAAATGAAGTCAGATGAAGCTAAATGAAATGACTTTGAAGGAAAATGGCTGAATGTGAATGAAAATCTTCACTCAGAAATCTGAATGACTGAAGTTTGAATGAAAAATGGTTTTTTGAACAGGTATGAGTATATAATTTATTTTTCACTAATTTCCAATTAAATTAAAATTTCACATGAGGCAGCTAACTTTGTTAAATATCAATGCATATTATTTTACAAACTTGGAAATCATAACGGCCCTTGTTTCAATATCTAATCAGACCGGATACACACCGGCTTAAGACCTTAGCACTGGTCTCGTCTTCCAGAAGAACGTGAAAGTGGCCGATATGCTGTAAAATTGAATAATGAAATAATTCCAAAAATATTTTTAAAAACTTCAAGTATGTCAATAAATTACATTTCTAATTCTCTGAGGTATCACGACTTCCCGTACGATTTTGTATGCCGTGCCAGCCACGAAGGTATCCGAATGATTGGTGACACCAAAATTTACATACGTCCCCTGGTAATAGTAATCCAGCCGGTAGGTCAAGCTACTTGTGGTATGGGCTATAAGCATACATGTTCAAAAAATATTTATTCATTCAAAGTTTATTCATTCAAAGCCTTGAAAAAAATATTCATTCCTTATTCACTCATTTAGAATTGTAAAATAAAATATTCATTAATTATTCAACATTTATTTCCTTCATTATTCATGTTATTCAAAATTCACTGTATTAGATGAATTTCTCAAATTTCCCTATTAAGCGTTGAGTTGAAAATGAATGATAAAAAAATATTCATTCATTATTCATTCACACGAATTGAATAGATATTCACTCAATATTAATTTATTCAAAAATCAGTATAAAATATTCATTTAAATTTTGAATATCGAGTGAATAATTTATTCATTTATCATTAAATGAATGAATGTGAACATGTATGGCTATAAACCAAGTAAGAACAGAGGGGTAACGTACTTGTTAAATCATATTAAAAATTTGGTCATTTGTTGACCACCAAAAAATGGTAACGGTAAGTGTATTTATGACATCACCTGGAATGAAGGTTGGTGCTAGTTCGTAGGTCGAACCTGCATCCATGTAACAGGGTTGAATAGCACAGTCCGTTACCTCCATCTGAACCAGTACCGCAGTTTCATCTTGAAAATAAAAGTAAAATTAAGGTTATGGTATCGAACAAATATTATCATAATTGTCGTAAATTGTAACGATCGATTAATAAAATTTGAAAACCCCGACTACCCCAACAACTACCCTGACTACCCGTGGATATTGCTCATTTTTGCTGCCCTAAAACCCACCAAAACCAGCAAAACCCCAATACCCCAAAAACCCGGGGTAGCAAACCCTGATAAATACTGCCTTCATCAATAAATATACGAAAGCCTTACTATCAAACCAGCATGGAATCGCGGTCGGAATGATTACTCCAAGGGTCCCCTTCCCATCAGCGGTATTATTCTTCAAGGGTGCAGGAGACGCTGCCCCGCTGCAAGCTAGGATTGTTACGAACAACACAATCACTTCCAGATTTTTGGAGAATGTCATTTTTCCAGGAATAAATATGCACTTGAGTAAAACCTTGATTTCCAGAGTGCGTCCAGCTAATGAATACTTTTCTCCGGTTCCGCAAGTTTATATACCCGCTCGGATTAGTGGATAACGGACTTTTGTTAATGAATTTCGCACCTCCATCAATCAGCCGAGAGCAAAATTATGTACCGCAACTCACGTATAATAGAATCTTTTCAAGTGTCCATCTCGGATTTTTCTATCAATCTGCAATGCACATGGGACACGTTTATATTTTTATTTATTCAAAACTACGTTTTGGAATACAGTAAGTACTGGATGGGCTTGGAATTTTACAAACCACTACAAAATTCCAAATTGTGTGACTTTCCTATATCCAAGGAATATTTATCATTTACTACCATACAAGTACCTGTTCAAAAAAACTTTTTGCATTCAAAATTCAGTCATCCCGATTTCTGACTGAAGATTTTCATTCATATTCAATTATTGTCTGTCAAACTCATTTCATTTCACTTCATCTGACTTCATTTCTTACTTCGCCCCATGTATTAAGCATAGGGTGAACAATGAAATGAGTGAGAAATTTTTCATTCACAGTCACTCATCTGAAATGATTGAATAATTTTTCGCTAATTTTCATTCAAATAAAGAGAAATTCATTTTCATTCAGTATCATTCTCTATCATAATCAGTCATATGAATGAAAGTGAACAGGTATGATTACTACACGACCAGCCGTGTTTTGCAAAACGGAAAAATACCGTGTTTGTTCCTGAGATAAATTTAAGACATTGTTCAACCCTAGTCACACACTGGATTAAGCCACCCTGTTAGAATAAATCGAGGTACACATATCATTTTTTAGGTACCACGAAGCCCATCATCTCGGTCCATAGTCTAATAATTTCGTCAGAAATTAATTGTGTTACATGCGTGAAGATTGACTTGTGTGGACCGTCCTCAGTGGACATCTACCTGAAATTACACATGTATTCATTGAACTGTGCAAAGGTACATTAATGTTCCCCAGTGGCGTGATGCTTATTCAAACAATTTAATCTCCATATCACCAGGAATTACATATTTCATTTGGGATGTACGAGACGATGCGACGCAATTTCTAATCAATCATCATCATCAAGTGGGTCCAACATTAGCCAGACGGCGGATATGTATGTATTTATAACTTTTACATACCAAATCAGATCGTTTTAAAACTTCGTGTACTGACATCTCATCTAAGCACGATCGCAAAAATTCAAAGATAGTTTTCCAAATTTTCTATAGTTTAGGGTTTTCGTACATATTACATATTTTCATACATATTTTCCTGTATATTTCGAGTATTTTTCTACATATAAATCTTTTAGTAGATATTTCGAAGTTTTGTATGTACAAGTATTTATCTTCATTCAGAAAATAAGGTTTCGTCAAAATTATATTTTCATCAATTGAAAAATATTATTTATGTGCATATTTTCAGGTTTTTAAAGCACATATAACATACATATTTTGCGGAATGTACGTAAATACATATTCTCCCTCTGAACATTACGTACTTTTACAAATGTGTTTAAGTAAACATGATGAACTGAATTGAAAAGTTATCAGCTCATTATACGCATGCACGGCATTTCTCTGCCCATCGACCTAGGGTTTTTTTCGGTAACGTCATTAAAAAACTTCTGCTACAGCTTTGCTTTGCCCGAGTCAGGGTGGGGATATTTTCTAGTACAATCGTCATGGTTTGGCATTATTAATCGCATGGTTTCAATTTGAAACATAACATTTTTACTGCAAATAAACCCAAAATCCGAAAAGTTGAAATTTGATGGTGTTCAAGAGACCTCCACTGGTCAATACTTTTCTTCAAAGGGGCCATTCAACGGAATGATCAGCGCCATGTGATTTCTAATTTTTGGCTTAATTTTTTGATATAACTCGTTACAAAATTATGGCGTAGCTTGAAAAAATGTTCCATTGTCAGAGTAATATTGCTAACAAATTCGTTTCAAACTGCACAAAAAATTATGCACTGCACCTTAACCCATTGAAAAAAACGAATCTTTAACTACTTTTTAAAACAAACAACTATTCATAAATGTGCAAAATGACGTTAAGCAATTGCATTTAATTTTGACAAGTTGAGAAATACATGCATATTAATTTCGAGAATTTTTTATAATTAAATCTCATTTCTCAAAAAATCGTCAAAATATTACTAAAATAACATTTTTGAAAACAATGGGAAAAATAATTACAGATTTCGAAAATGATATTGAGATTTATAAGTTCGTTTTAAACTGCACCAAAAACTTGAAACTCGAGAAAAAAGCAAACCTTTGACTATTTTTCAACATAAATAAATAATCATAAACATGAAAAATGATGCTAAACAAATGCATTTAATTTTGTAAAGTTGAGAAACATTAGCTTCTTAATTTCGAGATTTATTCGGAATAAATCTCCATCGATTCTAAGATCGTCAAAATATTAAGGAAACTATATTTTTCAAAAGAACAGTAAAAATAGTTAGATAATTTTCAAATCAGCTTGGATGTATTGACGATTAGGAATTTTTCCAAGTTGATAAATCTCTCTTAATTTAAAGAATTTTTAATGTTTTGAATTACTCTCCATTTTTTTGCTTTAAGATAATTCCTTTTAACTTTTCTTTGATTACAAAAATTTGACATCAAAAAAGTTATCGAAATATTATCTACTTTTTAAATAATCCTGCTGCAATAATTAAAAATATTGAGAAATGAGAATGAAAAATTTTTAAAACTTTTTTTGGAAAAGTGCGTAAACCCGAGCAATCGTCGTACATACTATACATACAAGAATCTGGCAATTGAAAAACCTTTGATAAGTTTTCTAGTATTAATAAATATTTGGAACCAAATAAAATGGCGTTACACACTTGCATTTAATTTTCCCAAATCAAGAAATACTTCATGATTTCGAGATTTTTCGTAATTTTTTGTTTTAAAATCGTCAAAATATTGACCAAAAAAAGAGAAATTTCACATCAAGATCAAATTTGCAACTACGTAGCTGCGTTAGGTGTGTAAGTTTACACACTTTTGACGTGAGTTGACTTTGCATATTTCCATTTTCGTTAATATTTTTTGCTAAAAAATGTCTCAACAGCGTAACCTCTGGTAGTCTTGATTTCAACTGAAAGTTCAAATATCAAACACTCGAATTATTTATGAATTTTTGCTTACGAGCCAAAAAAACATGCATTTGCAGTTCGTAATAAGTTTCGTAAAAGTTCGTAAGTCAAATTTACCGAGAATTTTAAGATACAACATTTTCACTTGTAACTGAGGTGACCTTGACTCGGGCGAATTGGAAGTCATAATCCTTGATCTCATTGTACCACAAGGTCACTGCAATCGTCCCGTTGGCCTGAACGCCTCTCGAGTGCGTGCTGAAGTAGAGATTTTCCCCGATGAAGTACTTCTGATCGTACATGTTCACTTTCATTCATTTGAGTGATTATGATAGCGAATAACAGTGAATGAAAATGAATTTCCTGTCACTTGAGCGAAAATGAGTGAAAGATTCAGTCGTTTCAGATGAATGAATTTGAATGAAAGGATTTTTCACTCCTTTCATTCTTCAGCCTATGCTTAATACATGGGGCGAAGTAAGACATGAAATGAGTTTGAAAGAAAATGACTGAATGTGAATGAAAATCTTCAGTCAGAAATCGGGATGACTGAACTTTGAATGAAAAAAGTTTTTTGAACAGGTATGCGTATAACAAATCACGGCGAGGCTATTTATATACGTACGAAAAATGACAGACAGATGCAATTAATATTTATGCAAACACGCCAAAATATGCAAGGAATATCTATATTATAAGCGAGAATGTCTGTTGGTAACGGAAGTGAAAGTAAATCTGTCCGTCCTAAATTTCTGTTCGTGACGGAAGTGAAAGCAGGAAAAGTCATAATCGTGGCCTGATGGTTATCTTGAGGTGGTGGTTATCTGCGGGTAGTGGTTATCTGGGGCCCCAAGATAACACCCCCAGAGTGGGGGTAGTGGTTATCTGGGGCCCCAAGATAACACCCCCAGAATGGGGGTGGTGGTTATCTGGGTTAGGTCCAAAATCCTTCGATATCCGAATATCCTGGTATCTCAATATTCTTGATATTCCTGATATTCTTGATATTCCTGACATTCTTGATATTCTTGATATTCCTGATATTCTTGATATTCTTGACATTCTTGATATTCAGAATATAGGGAATATTAAGAATATTCAGAATATCAGGTATATCAAGAATATTCAGAATATCAAGACTACTCAGAATATCAAGAATATCAGGAATATCAGGATAATCAAGAATATTCAGAATATCAAGAATATCAAGAATATCAGGACTATCAAGAATATCAGGAATATCAGGAATATCAAGAATATCAAGAATATTCAGAATATCAGGTATATCAAGAATATTCAGAATATCAAGACTACTCAGAATATCAGGAATATCAGGATAATCAAGAATGTTCAGAATATCAAGAATATCAAGAATATCAAGAATATCAAGAATATCAGGAATATCAGGTATATCAAGAATATTCAGAATATCAAGACTACTCAGAATATCAGGAATATCAAGAATATCAGGAATATCAGGATAATCAAGAATATTCAGAATATCAAGAATATCAAGAATATCAGGAATATCAAGAATATAAGGAATATCAAGAATATCAAGAATATCAAGAATATTCAGAATATCAGGTATATCAAGAATATTCAGAATATCAAGACTACTCAGAATATCAGGAATATCAAGAATATCAGGAATATCAGGATAATCAAGAATATTCAGAATATCAAGAATATCAAGAATATCAGGAATATCAAGAATATCAGGAATATCAGGAATATCAAGAATATCAAGAATATTCAGACTATCAAGAATATCAGGAATATCAAGAATATCAAGAATATCAGGAATATTCAGAATATCAGGAATATCAGGAATATCAAGAATATCAAGAATATCAAGAATATCAGGAATATCAAGAATATCAGGAATATCAGGAATATCAAGAATATCAGGAATATCAAGAATATCAGGAATATCAAGAATATCAGGAATATCAGGAATATCAAGAATATCAGGAATATTCAGAATATCAGGAATATCAAGAATATCATTAATATCAGGAATATCAAGAATATTCAGAATATCAAGACTACTCAGAATATCAAGAATATCAGGAATATCAGGATAATCAAGAATATTCAGAATATCAAGAATATCAAGAATATCAGGAATATCAAGAATATCAGGAATATCAGGAATATCAAGAATATCGAGAATATTCAGAATATCAGGTATATCAAGAATATTCAGAATATCAAGACTACTCAGAATATCAAGAATATCAGGAATATCAGGATAATCAAGAATATTCAGAATATCAAGAATATCAAGAATATCAGGAATATCAAGAATATCAGGAATATCAGGAATATCAAGAATATCAAGAATATTCAGAATATCAGGTATATCAAGAATATTCAGAATATCAAGACTACTCAGAATATCAGGAATATCAGGATAATCAAGAATGTTCAGAATATCAAGAATATCAAGAATATCAAGAATATCAAGAATATTCAGAATATCAGGTATATCAAGAATATTCAGAATATCAAGACTACTCAGAATATCAGGAATATCAAGAATATCAGGAATATCAGGATAATCAAGAATATTCAGAATATCAAGAATATCAAGAATATCAGGAATATCAAGAATATAAGGAATATCAAGAATATCAGGAATATCAGGTATATCAAGACTACTCAGAATATCAGGAATATCAAGAATATCAGGAATATCAGGATAATCAAGAATATTCAGAATATCAAGAATATCAGGAATATCAAGAATATCAAGAATATTCAGAATATCAGGTATATCAAGAATATTCAGAATGTCAAGACTACTCAGAATATCAGGAATATCAGGAAGATCAGGATAATCAAGAATATTCAGAATATCAAGAATATCAAGAATATCAGGAATATCAAGAATATCAAGAATATCAGGAATATCAAGAATATCAAGAATATTCAGAATATCAGGTATATCAAGAATATTCAGAATATCAAGACTACTCAGAATATCAGGAATATCAAGAATATCAGGAATATCAGGATAATCAAGAATATTCAGAATATCAAGAATATCAGGAATATCAAGAATATCAAGAATATTCAGAATATCAGGTATATCAAGAATATTCAGAATGTCAAGACTACTCAGAATATCAGGAATATCAAGAATATCAGGAATATCAGGATAATCAAGAATATTCAGAATATCAAGAATATCAGGAATATCAAGAATATCAAGAATATTCAGAATATCAGGTATATCAAGAATATTCAGAATGTCAAGACTACTCAGAATATCAGGAATATCAAGAATATCAGGAAGATCAGGATAATCAAGAATATTCAGAATATCAAGAATATCAAGAATATCAGGAATATCAAGAATATCAAGAATATCAGGAATATCAAGAATATCAAGAATATTCAGAATATCAGGTATATCAAGAATATTCAGAATATCAAGACTACTCAGAATATCAGGAATATCAAGAATATCAGGAATATCAGGATAATCAAGAATATTCAGAATATCAAGAATATCAAGAATATCAGGAATATCAAGAATATCAGGAATATCAGGAATATCAAGAATATCAAGAATATTCAGACTATCAAGAATATCAGGAATATCAAGAATATCAAGAATATCAGGAATATTCAGAATATCAGGAATATCAGGAATATCAAGAATATCAAGAATATCAAGAATATTCAGACTATCAAGAATATCAGGAATATCAAGAATATCAAGAATATCAAGAATATTAGGAATATTCAGAATATCAAGAATAGCAGGAATATCAAGAATATCAGGAATATCAAGAATATCAGGAATATCAGGAATATCAGGAATATCAAGAATATCAGGAATATCAAGAATATCAGGAATATCAAGAATATCAGGAATATCAGGAATATCAAGAATATCAGGAATATCAAGAATATCAGGAATATTCAGAATATCAGGAATATCAAGAATATCATTAATATCAGGAATATCAAGAATATTCAGAATATCAGGAATATTCAGAATATCAAGAATATTCAGAATATCAAGAATATCAAGAATATCGACAAGATCAAGAATATCAAGAATATTCAGAATATCTAGAATATTCAGAACATCGAGAATATCGACAATTTCCCGAATATATCGAAAATATCAAGCATATCGAGAATATCTTAAGTATCAAGAATGCCCCCTTCTAGAATACGGGAGTATTCGCTAGAGATGTGACCAGTTCTGCATACTAAAGACTGCGTTCCACTTCGTTGTGGCTGCAGAGCAGGGGAACCTTAGCAAAAATTTGAAGATGAGGTTTTTTGTGCCAGATGGTGGGAACTGAGGCTGACTAGCTGCGCACGTATATGTCGGTTCAGTTAATTGGTTGGTCAGAGGGTGCGGGGAAAATACCTTGGAAATCTTATAAGAAGGGTTTCGTTGTGACTCTTATTCATTCCCGTTCTAAGTGTCGTTCCGAGTACAACTAAAAAACGATTCTCCTGTTCTGACTTACAACAAGCATCACGGTAGATTTTCGACATCAGTTATCCAAAATGTTCTGTCAAAGGTGTGGGAACAGTGCGGGTTTTAAATTGGAAGGACTGACACGTAAGTGTTGACTTTCACTGAGATATCTCGATAGATATTAATTATTTGATACCTTGCAGTGATTTGCCAGACGTGCAGGAAAGCTCAAATGGTAACCATTGAGCATGAACAGATGTCGGTTAGTCTCGGAAGATGTCATGGATGTCGGAACTTTACTCTAGGTATGAAATATCTGCTACATTTGTAAATAAAGTAACCACAAAAATAACAACGGTTTGAATTTCTTCGGTTATGGATTGTTTGCTATTCTGCCCATCGTGTGGTATTAACCAGGAGTCTGCGATCGCGATCGGGAGGCTCGCAAAGGATCGAAACTTGGAAGTTGCAAAATTGCGAAAGAAAAACCGGGAATTGGCAAAGGCCTTGAACAGACAGAATGCGAAGGATTCTCAATGCGGATCATGCAAGAAGGCGAAGCAGGAGGTGGAATTTGATGATGATACCGATAAGGATTTGAGTTTGATGGAGGAGTCTGTCCTAAGCCTTGACAGTTATAAATCTGAGGCCGATCAGACCAAAGCCGAGGAAATAGGTGACGGTGCGTGTCCAACGGTTGACAACAAATCCAATTAATTAGTAAAATAATTTTTGCATGCTGTTGAGATTTATGCATTTATCACTCTCTAATGTTGACAATTCATTAATTGATTTACTTTAATAAACGTGATTAAGATTTCGTTTCTAAAATATAATATGACAGTTTTATCGCGTATATTTTTAACCCATTGGTAATCAATATTGTATAATTTTGGTTTGCATACATTTAGTTACATAAATCTAATCGCACTACTTGGTTCGCAAAATTATGTTGAACTCATTTTACCATTCTCCATAAGTAGGCATACATCGTCATAGTATATAGTATGTTAGTTGCATGTAAAATTGTCCATTTCTGTTCAAGAGGCTGACGTGTGCACAACTCAAGAAACTAATAACCCGTATTGATGGTTGACAGTTTGGAATATTTTGCTTAGTTTTTATTTATACAAATCGTTTCCGTGGCTTGAAAATGGATTCTATTCCTTCGTCAGCCGAAAGAACAAGAAGCTATCGTGCATCTAGAACTGAAGAGCAGAAAAAGAAACAAAAAGAAATTGACCGGCTGAGAATGGCAAAAAAGCGAGCTGAGGAAAAAGAACGGAGGAAGAAGAACGAAGAAGGTAAGATTATGTTGTTGGCAAATATACTTTGTTCTGCTTCAAACTTAAATTTCATTTTATGTTACCGAATATTAGCTGAGATGAAGGAAGTGCAAATTCTCGACACGTCGAAACCTTCATCGTCGGCACAACAAAAGCGAAAATACCGTGGATCTATATCCGTGGAAACAAGAGATAAGCTCAAGGAAACTGATCGCCTGAGAAAAGCAAAGAAACGGGCGAACGTAAATGCAAAAAGTGGGTCATCTGAGGATGGTAATCTTTCGTTGCTTACAAATGATACAGTATACTCTATTTTCCTTTATATTTCATGTTTGATACTGACAGGACCTGAGATGGACAACATTGAAGTTGCAATTCTGACAAGTGGAGTTGAGATTACAGAGGCTAATTGCTTGGATAGCAATAGCTCTTTTGAAGGTTAGACATAAGAAAATTTTGCATCGAACAATAGTACATTTAGCTGTTACTGGTTCCAGACTCCGGTACTGAGCTATGTTCCCAAATATCGTCAGCGTCCGCACAACGGGTCCAGGTACACCGAGGTAAAGCTACAGAACCAGAAAAAGAAACCAGACGGAGGTCCGAAAGAATTCGAATACAGAATAGTCAATTGATGGAAACGGCGGTTGAAGAAGCACAGCGCAGGAGCATGGACGCGGTTCGACATTATCTACAACGGCAACAACAAGGTGATGACGTGGGTACTCGGACTGTTGGAGAAGTAGACGATAAAACTAATGAGCATAGTTGTGGAAAGATAAATATTATTTGTGAATCTTGCTGCTCCAAAAATTTTGTGAACGAAGCCACAGGCAAAGACCAATCATTCACCCCGTGTTGCCAGAAGGGGAAAATTCAGTTGCCTCCGATAAAAACTTCTCAGTATATCAAAGCCCTAATGACTGGTCAACACGAAGAGTCAAAAAACTTCATGGAGCACATCAGGTCATTCAATAGTTCCCTTGCTTTTGCCTCCACTGGTGCAACTTTATCCACCCCACCTGGTCATGGACCTTATTGCTTCAGGATTCATGGCCAGATTTATCACCGAGCCGGCACATTGCATCCAGACGAGGGAGAGACCCGACGTTACGCTCAACTCTATATCTTGGACTCGGGATTGGCGGCATCTCAACGCTTATCACTAACTGAAAATTCAAAATGTTCTGCAACCCTAATGGAAGGCTTGAGTCAATTCATGGAGCAAAATAACCCATTCGCCAAAGCATCCAAAATGTTGTATGAGGTAGAACCAGAAAATGAAGAACTCGCTCGGCAAACTAATCTACCTAAAAGCGTCCTTTTCATGGCTATTTCGCAAAATCAGAAAAACGATAACAGACGGTACAATGCTCCCAGGGCCAACGAGGTAGCAATTGTATTTCAAGGAAATGATGGCAAACCCCCCCTTCATCGGGACCTCCTCATACATCTCCGAAGCGATCCCTCCAATCCTACAGCAGTTAAAACTAAGCGAATCAGTGTGTTGGATCCACTTCTTGAAGCAATGACGTATCCATTACTTCACCCATTCGGCGATCCTGGTTGGTCCCCAGAATTGAGACATGTAAACGATAATAACACACGCGTCTCACAGATGGAATATTACGGATACCGATTTGCCGTCAGAGAAGATTTTAATCCATTCTTAAGTGCAGGAAAGTTAACTCAACAATTCTTCGTTGACGCATACGTAAAAACAGAGGGAAATCGCCTTAATTTCGTAAAATTGAATCAGGATAAACTGCGTACTGAAAAGTATAGATGTCTGCAAGATTTCATAAGTTCAGATGTAAACACTGGCGCGTGTCCAGGAAAAGCTTATGTTCTGCCGTCATCATTCCAAGGAAGTCCCAGGAACATGCAGCAGCATTATCAAGATGCGATGGCAATTGTCAGACGATACGGTAAACCGGATCTTTTTATCACTATGACGTGCAATCCCAGGTGGAAAGAAATTCAAGAAAATCTGAAGCCCAACCAACGAGCCGAAAATCGCCCAGACTTGGTAGCCCGTGTCTTTAATCTAAAGTTAAAAGAACTTCTTGATGATATTAGTAAAAAGCACGTCCTCGGGAAGCAGAAGGCAAGGATACACGTAATTGAATTTCAAAAACGGGGGTTACCACATGCCCATATTATTATGATGTTGGCCCATGAAGATCGCGCCGAAATCCCAGATGCTTCTACTCATCCGAGGCTATACGAAATGGTTGTCCGTCACATGATTCATGGACCGTGTGGAACCCAGAACATGAGAAGCCCGTGTATGGATGGCAAAACATGCACCAAAGATTTTCCGAAAGATTTCGCAGCGGAAACCATTGCCAATCATGGTGGCTACCCAAGATATCAAAGGCGGAACAACAGAGCAAGTGCAACTGTTGGTCAGAAAGTTATTGATAATCGATGGGTTGTTCCATACAATCCTTATTTACTGCTCAAATACAATTGCCATATTAATGTAGAAGTCTGTGCAACAGTTAAAAGTGTCAAGTATCTCTTCAAATATGTGTACAAAGGTCATGACTGTGCAAGTGTTGAAATTAGAGAGAACCAAGGAATAGAACACAATGAAGTGAAATCCTTTGTTGACACTCGATATGTAAGCCCACCCGAAGCAGCCTGGCGTTTGTTTGGTTACCGTATGCACATCCAAACGCATACAGTTACTCGCCTTGATGTTCATCTACCTGAGGAACAGAGCGTCAGATTTGAGAAAGACAGTATTCCCACTGCCCTTAAGGAAGCCGCCCAAATGGATACTAAACTTATGGCTTGGTTCAAATTAAATCAATCTGACGAAAACGCGCGTAACTACTTTTACCATGAAATACCGGAACACTACATATTCGAGACTTACAAGGATATATCTCAGGACGATCCGAGCAAACAAATTACACGGAGACGATGGCGGAAGCGGAAAATCAGACAAGGTGATAAAGCCATCGGTCGAATGTACACTGTAGGCCTTTCTGAAATAGAGCGCTATTGCCTTAGACTTCTTCTTCTTCACAAGAAAGGTGCCGTCTCATTTGACGACTTGAAAACCGTTCAAGATGTGCAATATGAAAAATTTCAAGATGCAGCTGCTGCTCTTGGCCTCCTAGACACAGAAGAGGTGTGGGAGGATACACTTAATGATGCTGCTGTTTCAGGGATGCCTTACCAGCTCAGGCAATTGTTTGCTCTAATCTGTGTCTTTGCCGCTCCGACCAATATAATAAGACTTTGGGAAATTCACCAATCTGCTCTAATGGAAGATTTCGTCCACCATCACCACCACTTAAACAATTGCCATCACTGCCTAAATCTCGCTCTGATCGACATCGAGCAGACTCTAGCTGTACATAGCAAATTTTGCCATGATTTTGGTTTACCTAAGCTAACTCCAGCCGCTTTGATTGCAACGGGTACCAATTTTAATCAACTGGAAGAAGAGCTGCTGGGATTAGAAATGTCATGCGACTTAAATTCAGAACAATTGTTGGCATTTGATGCTATATGTGAAGCAGTCATGGACTCGACACCGCAGCCGAAATGCTTTTTTATTGATGGGCCCGGTGGAAGTGGCAAAACATATTTATATAAAACCTTAATCAGCACCATGCGGGGTGAAAATAGGTCTGTACTTCCGGTTGCATCAACTGGTATAGCTGCTAACCTCTTGCCGGCAGGACGAACATATCATTCCCAATATAAGATGCCAATTAAATTATTTGAAGACTCAGTTTCCAACATTGTGCCAAAATCAGCAGATGCGAAACCGATCAAGGCCGCAGATTTACTAATTTGGGACGAATCAACGATGGCTCCCACACATGCTTTATCTGTGGTAGATCGCCTACTGAAAGAGGTCATGGAAAATGATATTCCGTTCGGTGGAAAAGTGTTACTTCTTGGGGGTGACTTCCGGCAGACACTTCCTATTGTGGTGCATGGATCAAGATCAGCGATAGTAGAAACCTCCATCAAGTTTAGCACCCACTGGGACAAATTTAAAAAACTCAATTTAGTTGAAAATGTTCGATCAGTTGATGTCGAGTATGGACGCTGGTTACTGCAACTAGGAAATGGGGAAACTCTAAACTCTGATTGTCTGGGCGAAGACATTGTCGAAATCCCCAGTCACATGATTGCAACATCCCCCATTGCTGAGGAAATTTGTGGAAAGCAATTAAAGTGTTTTGATGACGTTATGAAAATTTCAAATCGTGCCATTCTCTGTCCTAAAAACGAGGACGCCCATAATATCAACCAGCAGGTCTTGGACGTCTTGAATGGAGAGGAGACATCCTATTTGAGTGTGGATTCCATTGAAGACGAAGCAGGCCAAGACGCAGTTTTCTACCCAACCGAGTTTTTGAATGGACTACATCCTTCTGGAATGCCACCACATAATCTCCGCCTCAAAGTCAGAGCTATTATAATGCTTCTCCGAAATTTAAACACCAAACGTGGCCTGTGCAACGGAACACGCCTGATTATAACAAAACTGCAACTAAACCTCATTACAGCACAGGTCTTAACTGGTTCTGCGGCCGGACAAATGGTCTTTGTTCCAAGAATTCAGCTCACAACAGCTAACCCAGATATTCCGTTTGTTTATCGACGCAGGCAGTTTCCAGTTAACTTGGCTTTTGCGATGACAATTAATAAATCCCAAGGCCAAACACTAGAAATGGTAGGAATTTATCTTCCCGAACCTGTATTTAGCCACGGTCAGCTGTATGTTGCCTTTTCACGCGTTAGGAGATCCTGTGATGTGAAAGTAGAAGTAAATACAAATAGTGTCCAAGGCAAATTAATACCAGGAAGCGATAAAGTGTCCTTAAATACTAAAAATGTAGTATTTAAGGAGGTGTTAAAATAGATTTAAAATGATAATGTGTATTGTTGATAGATTCTTATAGGGAATAATTAATATAGTTTTCTATTGTAATGTGTTGACCGGCGTCAATTAGATTTAGCATTATATTTTTATCTAATGTGTACACAACGAATTTTTTATTTACTCAATAAATATTCAGAGTTCACGATTTTGTCTTTTGAGTGTTTTGGGTGCACTAGCTTTGCAATTACTTTAAGATTATGAATTCTACCTTACCACCTCTATAGATATTTATATATTTGGCACATTAATCATACAACTAATGTTTATTCACTCTCTCTTCCGACGCAGACAGTCATTCCCGTTGATAGTATAGCTCTCATGGCCCGGCGGAAGACGGGCTTATTCGCTAGTATAAGATAAAAACAATAATAATTTTAATTTAATCCTCTGAATTTTTGTAGTCGAATTTGTTTGAAGGACAAATTTTTGTGTCACATTATTGAAACATTTGCAAAATATGTATGTACTTCAGAAAGAATACATTGGTTTCACGATTTTTTTAACAGTATTTTGACAGCGATAAAAAGTAAATTTCTTCAAAAACCCTGCATTTTCGTGTGACTGCTGCCTTCTCACGTAGATTTTCGTATTTTTGTGGGTGTGTCAGCACTGGAAATCCAAACCCTGGGAAGAACAGAGCTCAAAATACTCTATGTTATTTTGACAAAGTATTTTGTCTCCCCCCCTTTTAACTTGTATTGAATAATGGCCAGATCTTTGGTCAGTTTTTTGTAATTTCATGCCTAAGTTTTTGTCGACAGTGCATAGATGTAATTTTATCGTATCCTATATAACGGAAAATTATCTAGTTAATAATTTGTGCATATTTTTTTATTTCCTAAATAAATACATTTTGCGACGCTAAAAGTAAACAAGAAATTATAAACAAGAAATTATAAACAAGAAATTATAAACAAGAAATTGTAAACAAAGTAAATATGTTGACAATACACATGTAATTAATTTACATGGAATTAAAAAATACTTCTCTCAGAAATTCAACTTTTTCTAATTTCACAAGAAATTCAAAAATACTGTTTTTTTTGGAAGTTTATGCAAAAGACTATCAAGATTACTTCGAAAAAATTTAGACGTCAAAATTGGTTATTTTGCTGGAACCAAGCTATCATCTCTACTCTTCAACTTTAAAGACAAAAAAGAAAAAGTCAACTGCGGAATATACAAAATAAAATGCAAACGATGTGCAGATGTATATATTGGAGAATCTGGACGAGACATTTTAACAAGACTTGAAGAACATGAAGCACACGTAAGAAGAAATCGAGTCCAAGCTTCAGCAGTAGCCCTTCATATGGCGGAGAATCCGGGTGAGGAGATTGATAAGGCCTCTTTCATGTTAGTTGAAAGAGAAACCCGATATTTTCATCGAAAAATTAAAGAAGCTTTGTACATCAAGAAATCCATCCATTCAATGAACACCAATAATGGAATGAAAATTAATTCCATATGGACACCAACAATTTTACCATTTATAAAAAATCCGTAAATTTCCAAGAGGATTAATGTAATTTACCAAGTTATAGAAATTGTGAGAGTGATTAATTGTAAAATAATTATATTATCTACGTTGACCCTGAAGAAGGCAATATTTATTTGTCGAAAGCTTGGCGAAGCAAAATAAAACTGTAAAGTTTACAAAATAGTCCTCCTAGACCGTTTCACAACATTTTTTGCGAACTTGCGGCGCCCATAACGTGCTGAAATTTGCGCATCTGCCCAAGTGCCGAACCAAATGTTGTTTGTAAAGACTTGCTCTTTCAAACTAACATGGTCAAAAAATTATCTGGGCTGAACATGGTTTGCGCCTCCATTGTGAGTCCCGAAACCGGTGGCCAAAGCCATCATATCAATTTCTGTTCCCGGTTTACTCCTTTGTGGGTGGGTGCTTCCACTGTTTGTTGTTTTTTCTAATTTCAGGGTCATAACAATGAACCTAGGTTCATTACCCAGTGACTAAATGCAAAAAGAAGTACATGTTTCCGTTTTGAAGTTCTAAATCTACGTAAAAAACCTTGGCTAAATTTTATCGGTTTTGTCCGTTTCGCTGTTTTTGATCACATGAGTCGATCTCCTCGACTCAGCCGTGACCGTGAATTTTTAAGCTATGAGATCTGAGATACATATGAGTTTATCTTACACTCCAACAAGAAAAGTGGGGCAAAATGACTCTCCTTCTAGGCGAGGCCGACTAATTTTCTACCTCCCCTCGTATATGTTTTACATATTTTTTGCTTAAAGTCTAAAATTCTTTGATAAATATTATTTATTAAGTAATTACACTTTGTGACACTAACGTCAAAATTGACACGTGCCTTTCTTCATCACATATTTACATATATAATTTCGTGGCGTAAATTTTATTGGTATATACATTTTTCACATATTATTATTTTTTGAATGAACTAAAGTATTTCGAATAATTTCTAAGTTTTTAAATAAAATTCAGATTCCAGGTAAGAATTTGCGGGGGAAAAGTAAATAAATATTCTTGAATTTCTGGGGGTAAGACTTCACAAAAGTGTCGTTATTTCCAACATATTTATTTATTGCTTGTTTTTAACGTCGTAAAATTTATTTTTAAATAAATCATTAGACCCAAACAATTTACTAGATATTGCTGTGCCAGTAAACCGTTATGCCTTATTGCCTTGCGACGTGATGTACTCAATCATTTTCTCTAATGATGCATTTTTTTGGGAAACAATTAGAAACTAATTGAACAAAAGTATTTACTATGTTTTTGAATGCATATAGGTATAGCATATTTATCATGAAATTGGAATTTGACGCATTTTCATGGCAGTATTAAGAAAGGAGAGCAATTTAAAGTTCATATTTCGTAAAATATTCACAAATTCGTTTCCATCTGCATTTTGACGGCATCCTCGTCATATTCAATCAGTGGCCGCGGAGGCCATAGGGCAGATGGTGTGGACATCGAATAAGCCTGGGACATTGTCCCCTGTCTCCACCCTTCCGCGGAAACTGCATCCCATATGTGTGCTATGTGGGAAGGATAAGGAGCAAACTAACGCCACCACCTCCATCATTTTAGCGGATCAACCCTCATTAGAGGTCAGTAATTATGGTTACAGTCATAAAAAAATAGTCGTAAAGTCAAGAGTAAAAAATTAGGGAAATTTGTATTAAAAAACTGTTGTAAAAATATTACTTTTTTACGTTTTCCAACCAAATTATTTTCCATTTGTAAAAAAAATCATTTTCCTTCTGAGTTCTTTGACTGGGGAAAAGTTTTTATTATATTTAAAAAAATAACCAAAAATATTACATATTTTTTTCAAATAATGGCCCAAATATTTTCAAATATTGAAAAATGAAAATGAAAAATATTTGGGAATTGTTAATGACAAACCAACACAATCTTTGAGCACTTTTCACTCTAAGAAATATTCCTAAATATAAAAAACGACGTTAAATGATTACATTTTAATTTTTCCAAGCTAAGAAATACTTTATGATTTCGAGCTTTTTTTATACAAGGTTCTCTTTTTTCTGTTAACACGGTCAAAATATTGACGAAAACTGTATTAAAAAATCGCAGAAATGACATTCATAATCGCAGAAAACAAGTGATTATACACATTTTATTAAAGTCAGTACTATTTTTGATTTGTAAAAAAATTGGGAAACATATCAATTTAATATTTGTGAAAAAACCGTGAAAATATATATGAATTAAACGACATGAAAAATGACCTATTTTTCCCACAATGGCTGAAATAATTCCGAAATATTGTGAAATGAGGATGAAGAATATTTAGAAATTTTTGGCAAAGTCGAAAACCTAAATTACCGCACAGAACATTCTACAGATCTTTGACCAGTTTTGCCATATTAAATATTCCTAAACATAAAAAATGGAGTTAACTGATTACACTTAATTTTCCCAAGTTCAGAAATATTCCTAGATTAGGATTGTGGAAATCTGTATTAGGAAATAAGAATGAAAAATATTTAAAAGTTTTTCGAAAAGTCGAAAACCCAAATTACCGCTGCACCAGTTCCGGAAGTTCGAGAGATCTTTGACCAGTTTTACTACATTAAATATTCTTATTAAAAGTATTCCTATTAAAAGTATTAAGCATTTTCCGTATGAAATATTTGACTACCAAAATTTGACAATAAAAAAAATTAACCAATATATTATTTTTATAACCTGCTTTTAAAATAATAGCTGAAATATTTACAAAATATTGATACATATTAACGAAAAGTAAATATATTTTTTTAAGTAAATATTTTCGAAAAGAGTAGGAAACCCGAATAAGCGCGTGCCATAAAATGAAACTGTTTCAATAAATCTTTGGTAAGTCTGGCGATAATGAATATTCCTAAACATGAAAAATGAATTTGCTTAATTACATTTAATTTTCCCAAGTTAGGAAATACTTTTTAACTTAATTTGAATTTCTGGTGTTTTGAAATTTTACTAATTTCCAAAAATTTATAAAACTGACAAGAGTGAGAGTGAAACTTTGTTAAAGAAATTTAACTTATCGAGTACAAATTTTTGGTCCAGAATTTTAAATAAATACTCAACGGGGAAAAATAATTAAAAACGGGTTGATCTTGACGATTTTGGTGATAAATTGTCGTGTCCTATGTTAAGTAAGAATTTGCTGTCGCATATCGATAAACATAAGTTTAAAAAATCTTCAAATAGTTTTGAGATAATAAATATTCATAAAAATGTAAAATGGCGTTCTTGATTTCCAGAATTTTTAATATTTAGAAATTTTACTGATTTACAAACCTAGGGAACAAATCTCCCTTTTCTTTCTAAATTGCGAAGATATTGATGAAACAATATTTAGGAAAATACGATTAAACTATTTCCAATTCCATGTTTTTCAAATAATGGCAGAAATATTGACATTTAGCAATTTTTTGTATTAAATTTGTACAAGTTTATAAACGCCTCATGATTTCGAGATTTTTTTATTTGCTTTAACCAATTAACAAATGGTTATTGATTTCAAGAATTTTTAATGTATTGAAATTTTACTGATTTAACCAGGGAACAAACAAGGGATCAAACCACCCTCGGAGAAATATCGTTTATAAATTGGTTTCAAAGTGCATAAAAAAATTATACGTTTCACTTTCTATCAGGAAAGGAATAAACCTTTAAATACATTTTTTTAACCCTTTCCTTCGTAACGATGGATATATCCGTCCCCGGATTTCGAACGTTGCTGCGGAACAATGGAAATATCCGTCGTCATAAACTTGGCGTTGTGACGGAACAGAGGATATTTCCATCCTAATTTTTAAGGCGTTGCGACGGAGCAACGGATTTATCCGTTGTCTCAAAATTCGGCATAGACACGGAAAGAAGGAAATATCCTTTATTTTGGTCTGTGACTTTATTGCGTAGTGAAGGATATTTCCTCTCATTGAAAAAATATTTTTTCCATGGATTTACACATCTTGAAAAAAATTCGGTTTTTAGCCCGAGTCAGGGGTTGTGTACCTGCTTTGTCCGGTGTGTCTCTGCCTGTCTGGTTATCAATAACTCTCATAAATCTATCCTATCGACTTTAAATTTTATACTATTACTTTGTCATTTTTAATTTTCCGAAATTTGAAGTTGATAGAATAAGTTTCAAGTAAGTCAAGACGCAAGACGGACGGATGGACAACACGGGTACATAAGTCCGAGTCTACGAAAAAGGAGCCGGCGAAAAAGGAGCCGGCGAAGAAGGAGCGTGGAAGAAGGGGCCGGGCGAAGAAGGAGCCGTGCGAAAAAGGAGCCGGGCGAAAAAGGGGCCGGGCGAAGAAGGAGCCGTACGAAAAAGGAGCCGCAGTAAACACATGTTTATTTTTATGGTTAGCATTATAATTAGGTCAATATTTATTCTTAGGTGAGGCAAATCAATTTGCGTTCTTATAACATACATATAAAAATCTATCAAATATCAAATCAGGTATGGTATATCGACGAAAAAGACCTCAAATAAACAGGTCTGATTTAATTAAATTTACTTCCATGCAATACAATGACAAATTCCGCGGATGTTTATGTTACAAAAAATTGAATATTAATGACTTTCGATTGGTGATTCTTATTCTTTGAAAAAAAAATCAAGAGTGTTTCAACTTTCCATGTTGTCTTGGGATGATCTATTTTCTAATAACCAATAAAAGTATTATCCTTCCATATGAAATTGGATATTCCATCCTGCTAATATGCTTCATTCAAAAACTTGTCAATCTTTTGATGCTTTGCAAAAATTCCAAGCGTACTAAAAACATAAATACAAATAAATGAAACTTTCTGTATTTAGAAGGTGAGTGACATTGTTTAGAAGTGGGTGCAGCTATTCAGATGTAATATATAAGTTGTGAAATTGTTATAACATGTTTAAATATCACTATTTTGGAAACTTGTTTCTCCATAATTTATATCCTGACTATTCCTGACTGATTGATTTTGATGATGTCCTTCAAATAATATTGATAATCATATCGGTAATGTCAATCCATGTAAATTAATTATAAAACTGATAGCATGTTCCTCCACCTAAACGTAGAAAAATTGAAAAGCATGACCATTGTTAAATTCTAGTGTGCAAAACGAGGCTATTCGAAACTTGTTTGTATCACTACTAATTGTAACACTATATAATAACAATAACTACTACAGGTATGTATGCAAAGAGTTGACAGCTTGCTGGCGTACCAGAAAATTAATTAATTAAACTTTAGTACCTTATCATCCTTTAGTTAAGAAAGATGGGGAGGTTAAATGAATATGAATTGCTCAGTCCGTGTCAGATATATAAAACATTTACTATTAACAAGAAGGTTTGCTAAAATTCTAATAATTAATGCATTTAGATTTTATTTAAGAAAGACACGAGTTTTTTAGATAGGGTAATTTAGGAATAATGAGAAAACAATTATTTGTGCCGTCCAATGTTCCAACATTATCGACTAATAAATAAATATTAAATAAATAAAGTTCAGTTTCAATATCATTTTCCCATAACGGTCAACGGTGGTTTTGAGGCGATCCCGTTGATCCTTAACTGATTTTGGTGTTTTTTCGAAAATATATATTTTATGTTATATATTTTGTTGAATTTGATATACCATACTTGATTTGATATTTGATAGATTTTTATGTGTATGTTATAAGAACGCAAACTGATTTGCCTCGCCTAAGAATAAATATTGACCTAATTATAATGCTAACCATAAAAATAAACATGTGTTTACTGCGGCTCCTTTTTCGTACGGCTCCTTCTTCGCCCGGCCCCTTTTTCGCCCGGCTCCTTTTTCGCACGGCTCCTTCTTCGCCCGGCCCCTTCTTCGCCGGCTCCTTTTTCGCCGGCTCCTTTTTCCCCTACCCCATAAGTCCTGGGTCGGGCTAAAATGTCTCCATGATTACGTCATTTTTGAAGTAAAATGCCTCCACAGAAAGTTGAATAATTTTGGAAATATATCCATGGAACGTATCACTGAAATTTTCATTTGCTCCGTGATAAAGTTTGGTAATTCAAAAATTGCTACGCCACAAGCTATGGTTGTGAGGCGTTGCTATTCCGCAGCAACGGGATATTTTTGAGAATTCTCTTACGAAGGAAAAGGTTAATAACAAATATTTATAAAGATGAAAAGTGTCGCTTATTAGTTACATGAAAATTTTCTCGAGTTTAGAAATACTTTCTGATTTCGAGATTTTCTAATAGTTGAACCTTTGTCTTTCTAAATCGTAAATATATTGACGAAACAATCTTTTTTTAATTGTAAACGTATATCCATGCATTTCAAAGAATGGTAGAAAGATTGTCATTTCGAAATTTTTTAATTTAATTTTCACCAAGTAACGAATCGCTTTTGATTTCAAGAAATTGGACAAAGAAACTTTGGACTACTTTTTGCAATGATAAATATTCTTAAAAATACAAAATGGCATTTTTCCATGTTCAGAAATACTCCTTGATTTCGAAGTTTTTTTTTGTAGTTGAACCTTTTCTCTTTAAAAAAGTAAAAAAACAATGTTTTTGAAAAAATACCATCTTTTTCAAATAATGGCAGAATTATTAACACTATAATATCAAGATTGTCTGTATTCAAACGTATATTTCAGTTTTCGAATTTTCGCCTAGGTGGCGATTTTGGCCTTCAAACTAGTTTTTGGCGAAAAATTCTTGTGGGCGTCAAAAAAAATCGTACACGGACCAACCAAAGCCAGTATTCTTCAAAATGCATGCCGCATCCAGTAAAAAATATTGCAAAGTTAAAAAAATTATCCACGAAGGTTTTTTTTTGATTCCTCAAATTTTTTTAGAAAAATAATCCTGACCTTTTACCTATCTGCGACATTAAAAATCGGCGACGAGGAAATTGTCGTCAGGTAGTTTTGACATTTTTGTACGGAGTTTCAAAGTTGAAACATTACGGCATCATGTCAAGGTACAAAATTTGTAATCGTAGCTATACTTTTGTTACATACTTTACTTTACATATGTAACTATTGTTCGGAAGTAAAAATTTTAGTTTCCTGTACCATATGGGTTTTGTTAATTTGTAAACCTTTTTTTATTTATGGACGTATGGAGTTAATTGTCTACGTAAGAATTACGTAAGTAAAATAACAAATCTCAGTTGAACTTTTGATATAATTTTATTCCCATATGAGATAGTATTACGATCAAAATTATTTTAATTAATTACAGCTTACATTCTAAGCATGTTTTGGTCAAACACAAAACTCAATGAACTTTGTAGCTTATTTAGCGAGCATAACGTAATATTTACTTTTTCATGTAATTAAGAAAATGAGAATCCAACATTTCATTACTATGCGAAACTTTACACCATTTTTTCCTTTAACTGGGACCTAAACTCTGCCAATTTATTAATTGGCAAACTAAAATACTCAAAATATTTATCCTCTCTCTTATATCTTCTGAACAACGAAATATCGTACTGATACCGCTTCAAACCACCGGAATCGCACTGAACACGATAACACGATTCACATCGCGTAACCTTATAAAACCCATCGTAACAGTGATTTTCACAGTATCCCCTAAACAAGCCATTTTCTACGTATGACAATCTAAAGGTAATCGTGGCATCGCGATATTTTTCCAGAGTGGGTTGCAAACGTTCAATTTGAGACAGGATTTGATTTCTTTTTTCAGGCCAGAGTTTCCATCCCAATGTTGCAACGCCAGAATATAGAGCGGCGAACGTGACTAGTGAAGGTGTCGATCCTAAGACACTTCCACCCTTAAAGAGAGGACCCCACTCGGTGGCGTATTTGTCCAGGATTTCCTCACACTTGTCCCACGCAATGGAGAGAGGAACACTGCAGGATGAGTTCTGTATGATAAAGCACAAAAACTTACAAGCCGTAATGATTAATGTTCCAAAATACCATGGCGTATTACGATACTACACTCAAAATAAGGTAGTAATGAATCATTACCATGCGGAATTACTATGTGGCTCTACCACGTCGGTTACGATTTGTCGTAGAAATGGTAATAATAAGTTCAGGGAAATTCAAATTTAATACATAATGATATTAACTTCCTTAATATTTGGTAATGAGTTTGAATTTCCCTGAAATTATTATTACCATTTCTACGACAAATCGTAACCGACGTGGTAGAGCTACATAGTCATTCCGCATGGTAATGATTCATTACTACCTTATTTTGAGTGTACCTCCGAAAACCCTATTTGTTTATACATACACTTATGGGAGAATTTTACGTTATTGTTACGCTTTGTTATAATTTCATAATAATTAGTTAATAAAAATTGAAATAATAATTACTTAATAATAATTCGTATAATTTCGTTTTATAATTTCGTAGGTTCGTAATGCTACGTTTTTGTACGTTATTTTGACTGTACCTGTTCCATATACATCTCCATTTCCTTTAACCTGTTCTCAACCGTGTAAACCTTGGATTTAATATCTGCAATTGTTGCAATGGCGAGATGCCTCTCGATGAATTTAGAGAATGCGTCCTCTTTTCCAGATATGATTTCTCGTAGAGTGTTGCATCCCCTTAAAATTGGGCCTATAAACGTTCCAACCCCCGGTATGATGCCAGATACGGTCGCAATTAATCAATTAAATTGAGATATTGTGTTTGCTGAACTTTGAGCAATAGCGAAATCGTCAACGCCTAAGAATACCAATTCTGGATGGGGATATTCATTCCAATCGGTTTTTCTAGTGCAGGAACAACAATGTGCGAAAGAAACCAAAAACGAAAGGAAAATCGGTACAAATATCTGTTTATTCATTGTGCCGACTGAACAACTTGATGTGTCGTCGTGCCATGCAAATAATTTATTTATGTGTGTACAGCTAAGGTAAGCTGTAAACAGTTGGTTGTATTCTACGAAATGCGTGACCATGAAATGATATCATTTTCTTGGTAAGGGTCAATCTTTATGTCAATTTGTTGTGGGTGTCTTATGGAATCAACTATCTTATCTCTCTAACTCTGAAAACAGTTATATACAGTCGATGCTTAATCTAGGAAGGCCAAAATCCATACACAAATCTACACTCAAATGCAGAAATTCAGATATTAAATTTTAAGTTTTTATTTCACTAATTATCATTGCATTACACAAATTACACATCAGAAAAGCTGACTAACAAAGGAGTCGTACATTAAAAATCCCTAACCTGAATAAAAATCGTAGAAATCATAAAAGAGACAAAATAAGTTAAAAAAATACATTAAAAATCATACACCTCTTCTAATTCTAATTCAGATCAGGCATGTATTCTTGGTCGGGCAGAGCCATGCTGAGTCTATGCAAGCTTATGGCTCTGCCCGACCAAGAATACATGCCTGATTCAGATATTATATTATATCCATTTGTAATGTACTGACTATGCGATGACGCCAACGGTCTAGCTCCGATTTTGATGAAACCACGATAATTATGTAGCCTTACATAAATAATTGAACACATATTTCGGGATTTTTCGTAATGCTCGGTTTAGACAAAGTTATGATGGTAAACGTGGCCGAAAATTTGCATTTTTCTCCCTCAAAAACAAAAAAAGAAAAACTTCACGAGAGTTAGTTTTATAAAATATACGTATAATAAATCACAGCGAGGATATTTACTTACGAAAGATGACAAGAATGCTATTTTTAACTTATGCCGAAATTAATTACACCACGGAATGCTTTACAAACATGAATAAATAAATAAATGTAAAGTTATTTTGCATTAATTATTTGTTTTAAAATACGTTTTGCGACGTTAAAAGTACACCTAAACTCGTTAAAAAAATAAATATGTTGGGAATAACGACGATTTTGTGAGCACTGCTGTCCGGAAGGTTTTCCATTTTGTCTCGCAATGTTGCCCAGTTTGGAACGCGTGGGTAATAATACGACACCACGAAGGTGATCACTTGACCATTTTCTGCCACCCCGGAGGCAAACGCCATGCCGAAATGGGTCGTCGCTTTCCACATGATTTGCTCGAAATCGTCTGGTAAAAATGGAAACTTTTGAATAAAGGTTAAAAAACTCTAATTGTAAATAAAAGTACTCCATGCAAAAGCCGTAATTTGCCATGAAAAGGTTAGGATTCAATAAAAAAAAACTTTTTCCATCAAAAGCTTTTCATGAAAAAGTAAGTTTTTCATGATAAATGTGAAAGCTTTTCATGGAAAATTCCGTTTACTAAGAAAACGTAATTTTCTGTGAAAAAGTCAAAGTTTTCCTTGAAAAAGCTAACGATTCTCATGAAAAATTTTGGATGCAAGTATTTTTGCGTTTTTTTAACAAATTTTGAATTACTTGTCTGCGCTGTTCTACTCTTGTTCGAGTTGGGTCTCCTGTTTTCAAAGTCGTAAAAGTTGTGCTGTTCGTACCAGAGGGTGACCACGCTTTCCGGATTGACGAATCCGTCACCCACCAGGTAAATAATGTTTTCACCGAATTCTGCCTTCTCCGTGGCTGCGATATTCTTAAACCCGTGGCGACCTTCGATTGTCCATTTCGAGTTGAAATCTCGTACACCTTTTGCCACCAGGAATTCAGCCCAGGCTTGCGCGAGTCCGGATAACTGCGTGAACAGAGAAAAAAGGCAACGATTTATGTATTTAATGAATTATTGTGCTAAAATTTAAGAATTTGGAACCTTAGGACTTTCTGTGAGGAGGGGAAAGTCGTGATGAGCTCGGTACTCGTTGTGCTTGTTGAGAGCTTGGTCAATCCAGGCTTGAGGAGTGGTAATGTCAACCTAAAATATACGAAAACTTGAAAAAAGAGAAAAATGGAAAGGTTTGAGTAAGGACAAAAAAGAGGTGAATATTATTCTTCACGTGTAAAATTCTGCGGAACGAAGCACGTTTTTCAAGAAACAACTTTTACATTTTCATGCAAAACATTCCATTTTTTATTGGACGATTTCGAAACAAATCATGACGGAAATTGACTACCAATTTAAAAAAACATGATCCGTACTTGTGTGCAGAGTCGTTAAATGATCATATTTTTTCTTTAAATAGATGGTGCAGAATTCTTGAAAATGTAAGGAATTGTAAAAAAAAACATTTCTGTAGAAAATTGACAGCTTGATTTTGCACGTCTCCGGTAACTTTGCATAATCCCTTTTCCATAACGGTTGACGGATATATTGCAGAATTTTTAGTCCATAAAAGTCACATGGTATAAGCAACCACTTTCCATGATACATTTTCTCATAAATTGTAAAACAGGAATAATTTCTGATTAGTGGGAACTAAAGTCGTGTAATACGAAATTGTTCGTATTGCAACGTATTGAACGTAATATATACATATATTTCAGCAATATTTTGCATTCGGCCAGGAAATTAGCATGGTATAGAAACTCACCAGAGATAACTCCCAGAACTGTATCTTGTCCTGAATGACCTTATCGACGTCCTCAATTTCATTTTCTGTGTCACTAACCGGGCTGGAATGACATGGAAAACATTTTTAAAAAACGGTCAAAATATGAGCAAAATATGTCAGATACTCACGGCACTACGTTTTTGAGGTACAGCTTTTGTGGGAAGTCTGGCCTATAAAGGACGTTTCCGGCGGGGTAGTAATTTGCCACGATAAAGGTGACGAGTTGTCCGTTGGGGAGTTGTCCGGTGGCGAAAGCGGTCCCCATGTCCGTCGAACTTTTCCACACGAGCTGGGTGAAATGTCCTGTGGAAATAAAGGGCTTTTTTTTATTTTTTGGAGACAAATTTAAAAAGACTTTTTTTATGCATTTTCTTTCAGAAATTTAGGTGAAAAAATGGTATTCCTCAACAAGTATTTATTTTTGAATTTCTACCCGAAAAACAACTATAAAAAAAATATTTTCCAATTTAAAATCGCAAAATTCTTTTATAAATAAGTAATTACACAAATAATTTCGGTTCTTTGTGACGCTAACGTCAAAATTGACACGTGCCTTTCTTCATCACATATTTACATACATAATTTTGTGACGCAATATTATTTTTTTCGCGCTTTCCTTTAAAATTAAACCAAAAAGATTATATATGTTTTTCAAATAAGGGCCCAAATATTTTCAAAAGATTTAGAAATGAAAATAAAAAATATTTGGAAATTTTTGAATGAAAAACGAAAGCAATCTTTAACTACGTTTGACTTTCCTAAATATAGAAAACGACGTTGAATAATTACATTTTAATTTTCCCAGGTTAAGAAATACTTTTTGATTTCGAGCTTTTTTAATACAAGGTTTACATTTTTTCTGTCAAAATATTGAAGAAAAATGGGTTTAAAAAAGCTTAGAAATGGCATTCATAATCGCAGAAGGTCAGGAATTGTGCGTATTTTATTAAAGTCGTTATTATTTTGGATTCATATAAAATTAGGAAATATGGATCTAATTAAGATTTGTGAAAAAATGTGAAAATACGAAGTAAAGGACATGTTAAATTACATTTTTTCAAACAATAGCTGAATTATTTACAAAATATTGAGAAATGAGAATTAAAAATACTTGCAAAACTTTTAATCTTTGACTAGTTTTTGAAATATAAAATATTTCTTAATAGCAAAAACGACGTTAAATAATTACATTTTAATTTTTGCAAATTAGGAAACGCTTTTTGATTTCTAGCTTTTTTTAGATAAGGTTCACCTTTTTTCTGTCAAAATATTGATGACAAATGTGTTTAAAAAATTGCAGAAATTGCATTCATAATCGCGGAAAATTGGTAAATATTTTATCATAGTTATTACTATTTTGGATCTATAAAACATGGCGTATCCATTTAATATTTGTGTAAAAAACGAGAAAATATGAATTGAAAAATGTGAAATGCGAAATTGCCTATTTTTCAGACAATTTATTTACAAAATATTGAGAAATGAAGGGAGAAATTTTTGGAAAAGTCTAAAACTTAAATTTCCGCTGCCCAATCAACTAAAATTCTATAAATCTTTGAACAATTTTGCCATAATAAATATTCCTAAACATTAAAAATGGTGTTAAATAATTACGTTTTAGTTTTCCCAATGTAAGAAATATTCCTTGATTAGGACAAAATAATTAGGGAAATGTGTATTTAATATTTGTGAAGAAAACTGTAAGAATATGAATTTTTTCGTTTTTCTATCAAATTATTTCCGATTTTTTGTTTAAAAACATTTTCCGTGTGAAATCTTTGACTACAAAAATTTTACAACAAAAAAAAATTAACCAACATATTATTATTATCACCTGCTTTTAAAATAATAGCTGAAATATTTACAAAATATTGATACATATTTAGGATAACGTAAATATATTGAAAAAAATATACAAATTTTCGAAAAAATTAGAAAACCCGCATTACTGCAAGCCGTAAACTGACAACAATTCCACGAATCTTTGTTAAGTTTTGCGATAATAAATATTCCTAAAATGTAAAATGACGTTGCATATTTATATTTAAATTTTCTAATGTTAACAAATAATTTTTAGATTTCTGGTGTTTTGCAATTTTATTGCTTTACAAAAATTTATAAAACTGAAAAGTATAAATACTAATATTTGGTCCAAAATTTTGAATTAATTCCCAGGGACGAAAAATGATTAAAAACGTATTAATTTTTACGATTTTGGTGGTAAATAATCGTGCCCTGTGTTATTAAGTAGGAATTTGCTGTCGTATAACCATAAAGAGCAGTTTAAGAAATCTTCAAGTAGTTTTGGGATAGTAAATATATATTCATAAACCTGAAAAATGGCGTTATTTTTTTCGAGAATTTTTAATGTTTTGAAACTTTACTAATCTACGAAAGCTAGGGAACAAACCACCTTCAGAGCAATATTGTTTACAAATTTATTTCCAAATCCATAAAAAAGAATGCTTTTTCCCAGCCGAATATCTAAACTTTGACTTCTACTTAAAATATCAAATATTTATAAAGATGAAAAATGACGTTTAATAGTTACATTTAAATTTTCTCAAGTTTAGAAATACTTTTTGATTACGAGATTATCAAATATTTGAACGTTTTTTCTTTCATCGTGAAAATATTGACGAAACAATGTTTTGAAAAAATGGTAAAAATATTTCCATGTTTTTAAAATATTGGCCAAAATATTGACGTTTAGGAATTTTTCCATTTGGTTTTTGCCATTAACGAATGGTTCATGATCTCAAGAATTTTCTGGAGTTCATAAATACATACTCCTTGATTTCTAATTTTTTTAGTTCAATATTTTTTTCTTTTAAAATATTTTAATCAAAATTTTAGTCAAAATATTGACGAAACGATATTTTTGATAAAAATGGTAAAAATATTTCCATATTTTTTCAAATAATGGCAGAAATATTGATATTTGGGAATTTTTGCATTATATTTGTACATAGTAATAAATAAACCGTTACAACGCATGTAACCAAGGGGTGAAAGTAGTGTGTCATACGTCAAAGTGAATATCAAATGCTTGGAAAATTTGTTAAGACTGATACTTCTGACGTGTTTTCAATGTTTGTGTCTTATTTGTGTCAAATTTAACAGTTGATAACCCTTTTTGTGACCTTTATATGACCTCTGAGGTCAAAATGGAGGTCACCATTGAATTCGGGGTTAAATTTCAGTTCAAATTGACATAGATATGTCCTATGACCTTTACATAACCTCTGAGGTCAAAATGGAGGTCACCATTGAATTCGACGTTGAAAAATAGTTAAAAATGATGTGTCACATGTAAAAACTGACACGTGACACTTTTTCGTCAATTTTCGTCACTATGACGACGTCATCGTCACAGGTGACGATGTCACAGTGTCCATCTTCGAACTCGTCCTGTCCCTTGACGTTAGGAGTTTACGTTAAAAATTTCAAGTCTCTTTGTCTTTCCGTTCAAAAGTTATCCGAGCTACGGACAGACAGACAGACGGACATAACGATCTTATAAAGGGCTTTCACCCCTTAAGAATTGGCTATATTTCATGTTAAACAAATCCTTATCCATCACATAGTGGCGAAACTGATGAACTCGGTGGGGTAAAAAGTTCACGAGTTTCGGTGGGAATTTTGAATTATTTGCAAAAAAACTGCAAAACTCATCTTGAGTTGTTTACATTTTTAGTGGTTTCCAGTGGGAAGAGTGTGTGGTGGTGGCTTCCCGCCACACATACTCTATGACGAGTTGAGACTAATCTCAAAAAGTAGTACAATTTTTACATCATTTTTCACTTTGCGGGTTTCAATGTACACGCATAAGTTTGAAATTTTCAGAATATAGCTGTCAATAGTTTTGCAACAAATTACCATTCATCGATAAGCAATTGTGATTGTAGTTTTATTTATATTAATCAATATTTGTGCAAATTTCGGTAATATTGAGATTATTGATTAATATAGATAAATCTACAATCACAATTGCTTATCGATGAATGGTAATTTGTTGCAAAACTATTAATAATTATATTGTGAAAATTTCAAATTTTTGCGTGCACTTTGAAACTCTCAAAGTGAAAAATACGGTCAGAGTTCTGGACTCATGCGTAGTATAGAGAGGAAATGCAGAGCGAGAGCTTTTCTCGCTCAATAGAGCGAGGAGATAAAATATCACGCAGGCTTAATAAATGCTTCATGATTTTGAGAATGTTTTCCATTTGATTTTAGCCAATTAATGAATGGTTCTTCATTTCGAGAATTTTTAATGTTTTGAAAGTTTGCTGATGTACAAAAACACGATAAAAATTCCTAAAAATACAAAATGATACTGAAGAATAACATTTTTTCAGTTCAAAACACTTCTTGATTTCGAATATTTTCTTTTAAAATAGTCAACATATTGGAAAAATAATGTTTTTGGAATAAAGGCACAAATATTTCCATGTTTTTCGATTAATTTCATAAATATTGACTTAACGAATGGCTTCGAATATTAAAAGCTCCAACAAGCAAATCTTAACTACGTTTTGCCATGATGGATTTTCCTAAAAATACAGGAAAAAATGGGAGGAGGAACTCACTTTCGTAGAGTTGGTGTCCAAATTGTAGGCCGGGTGTGGTTGGGGGAGGTTAAATTGCCAACGTTTCGAACTCTTGTTCTTTTTCAAGGCGGCGGAGGGGAAGAATTTTGAGAAGTTGTGACTTCACGTGCCGAATTGTGAGTGAGGAAGGAAGGGTAAAAAAGGGTAAAGGAAGACCGTTAACGCGTGCGTAACGGTCTTCCTTTACCCTTTTTTACCCTTCCTTCCTCACTCACAATTCGGCACGTGAAGTCACAACTTCTCAAAATTCTTCCCCTCCGCCGCCTTGAAAAAGAACAAGAGTTCGAAACGTTGGCAATTTAACCTCCCCCAACCACACCCGGCCTACAATTTGGACACCAACTCTACGAAAGTGAGTTCCTCCTCCCATTTTTTCCTATTATTTACTCACTATGCACATTCTACCAAATATTTAACCCAATTTTTTGTGCACTCCTTTTGAAAAATTAATAATTATGGCCCAATCCTTTTTCTACAACAAATTCCTTTCCTCAATTAATTGTTATTCTCCTCCTATCGTAGAACTTGCTAAGAACTATTTTAGTTTCATTTTAAAGAAGTGTCGCTTATCATCTCATTGTCTTTTTTTAAATGCCTGTCTACGTAAAAAGATAATCCCACCTGGTTTCATTTTGAAATTCCATCCCGGCTTCATTCCCAACTCCAGGGATAAGGTTGTCATTAACAAACACC